GTTCCTTCACTCCTCTCTCAGAACTTCTCAAACATCTTCTCCTACCAGAATGTTAACATTGCTGTCTTCAAAGAAGTACCAGGTGGGGTGAGTAGGGAGGTTGCTCCAGCACGGCAATGTTCTTCTAAGCCAGGAACTGTGGGATGCTCAGGGCATTGTGAGCAGGCGTGTTGTCATGGTGAAGTAGCTACAACTTGTCCTGCCACAGCTCTCACTTCTTCTCGCGCACTGAACAGTACAGGTGCTGGTTGATCGCCTAAAGGGGAAAACTCATAGTTTGTGGTTTAGGTTTGAAATATACCTTTTGTGACAGCAGTCCTGGAACTTTTCTGACACACCTCGAATGCGAATCAGTGGCTTGGAGTTGTTTTAGCTCAATGCTCTGCTTTCCACTTCCTCCGCATAGAGACTTAGCCACCATGGGTGACACTTGAGAGCTCTTGGCATAGCTGTGCTTTTGTCTGTACAAATGCTCATTGTATTTAAATAGGTGGTCGATAGACAAGGGTCCAGCTGGGCACAAATCTTATTGGGGACAAGTTAGGTCTACTGTTTACTACTGTCTTGCAGTGGCTGTTTTCTGGTGACCTCCACTTCCTCAAACGTAGGTGGTTACCTGACATTAAACGATACCATGGTTTAATCTGGGGCCAATTTCAGTTTCACAATCTGTCCGACAAACTCAGCAGAGTTTTGGATGTGATGTGAAGTTCCAACTAGAGGAGCTAAGACAGTGGCTGCTAATGATAGGTCTAAGTTCTTCCTCCTCGTGTAGATTTGGAGGTTCATGAATCCATGGTATGGATTTTTCCAGGGTAAAGCTGACATTATGAAGATGGGTAAATAGCTTTCTTCATTTCCAGGTGTTGTAAGCAGTTTATGATTTTTTTGTCTCATAGGTGGTTTCATTGAGTCATGTGTTGTAATTGGCTGTTTGACTGCCACTGTGCATCTCTGCTTGTCCAATGTCAAAATGGTGATACTTTAGTCTTCACTTAGCGATATAACTGCCTTCCAAAGGCAAAAATCCTTGAAGTAGTAGAGACTTGGGTCCACCAGTATCCAGCAAAATATGAATGGGCATGGCATGGTCAAACTCAGACAACGCTACAAAGACCTCTGTGATAGATGGTTCAAAGCCTCAGGATTCAAGCCTGTTCAAGATCAACGGCAGGAAGTGGCCATAGCAGAGGACTTAGATTTAGACCCACTGGTTTAATTGTCTACTTTTTACTTGAAGTGGCTCAGATTATAGTAGTTGCTGGCTGTTAAACTGGGATGCCAGTCAGTCTTAGTCTGACAAAATGTTGCTTTTAGACAACAAATATTCCACATACCACTGATACACTTGCCATCCCTTTAAACTAACAGTACATGCAAACCAGAAACTACAAAATACTGTAGCAAGCAAAAAACCCACAAACAACAAATTCAATGTTTCCTAGTGTGTAATAGACAAAGAGTATCGGTAGAAAAATTCAACATACACCACCCTGTTTAACCTACTTCAGCCAGTTAAATGCTCAGTCAACACTTTCTGTTTTCTTTCCAGTTACTATGCTGAATTTGGTTCCTTGAATCTCATCAGAGTGAAACCTTGCAGAGTAACAGCTTTGTAGTTTTTGTTCTGAAAACTCCAAGCTATGGCATTTTTAGTTTCAGGGTAAAACCTGTCACATGCTGACTTTATATGCCAGATCATCCTCAGCCAATACAGCAGCTCCTGCTACAGTTTTACTTGATGCTCACTGAAATAAATAGAAACCACAGAGATGGTACACAACATATGCACAGAGAGAGAGAGAGAGATCCTAAATGTGACACTTTACCAGAGCTGACACTGACAATGTTTGTACATTTAGTAAAAGTGCATCACATACAGAGAAATGCTCAATTTTCGACTAGCAAGCACACAATTCATCTCTCATTTCCCAGGTACGTTATGCATGTGAGCAAACCTTTTGCTCATACAGGTAATTAAACTGCAGGACATGGAATCATAGCATCATAACCAGTAGCCAGCTGATTATTTAGCTATTTGTGCTAAATGATCAGATGGATTTCAAATTAAAGAAAAAACACAAACACTTGACCCCTACAGTCAGGGAATCTGGTGGCTCTGATATGTTGGAGAGGCATTTCACAGGCATGGTTTGGGTCCACTTGCTCCTTTGGAGGGAAGGGTCACTCCAAATCAATACAAAGTTGTTCTGAGGCATCATTTTTATCCTATACTGAAACATTTCTATCCTGCTATCCAGAATTAAAATGCTCCCATTCATACAGCACAAGGGGTTACTGAATGGCTTGATGAAGATAAAAATAATGTGAATCTTATTCTATGGCCCTCACCATCACCTGATTTCGACCCAGTTGAACACATATGGGGGATTTTGGATCAATGTGGTAGTGCTCTCTATTGCCATCATCAAAACCTCAGATGGGGAAAAATCTTTTGGAAGAATGGTGTTACATCCCTCCAGAAGTCTGGAGAATCAGCAGCAAGGTGTATTAATGCTGCTCTAGCAGCTCGTAATGGCCAAAAACATACCTCCAATTTGTTACCCATCACATCATTTGAATTCCTGTTCAGAAACTTTCAGTTTCAGTTGCAAAGTGCTCAGAGCACGGGCAGATTTAGTGATTTGTGGGCTGCAAGCAAACTCTGAAAGTTCAGATCAAGTCTTCTATCATAGTTTTTTTTATTATTTAAAAAAGAAAAAAGAGTAAATGAAGCAATATTATATCTCATCTTAATTAGTTAAATTTTATCTCTTAAAATATAACAAAAGGCGGTGGTAGGATAGCTGTGATAGGACTGAAACCAATTGACAGAAAGATTATTTTATGCATGTTGCTTAGTTTTAATCCATTTTTGACATGGCAGGGAAGTGCAGGGACAGTCAAAGAGAGAGAAAGAGAGAGAGAGATTTTGATTCACTCTGATGAAATAAAAATGTCACATCTAGTTCAAGAAAATAATGTAAGTGCTATATGCTACAACCTAAGAGACAACCATAACAACAATACACACAGCCGATCTCCTCACACTTCACACTCCACCTTTTCATTTTTATATTGGATCTGTATTGAACTGCTTTCATTTTGTTCATTGTTCATTCATCTTAAACCACCACTGATCACTTCAGTATACACAAACTGATATGTTTCTGTTTCACTTAAGAAATTCTACATTTATTTTCTTTATTTGCTCTATAATGTAATGATTGTATAATGCTCTGGTAATATTGTCCTCATGACTCTAATGCCAATAAAGAAAACTTTATTGAAAACTGAAACTGACAGAGAGAGAGAGAGAGAGAGAGAGATACAGGCTGTAGACAGTAGATTCTGGGTGATTATTGGGAATACTCTTCATTTTGTGTAGTTCTAACAGCCTGCATCCAGGCACTGTTGAGTGTTTGGTGAGTTCCATGGTTTTCTCTTTCCCTTGACCCACTAGAACAGACCCCTTTCTGTGCACTGGGACCTCCTGATTTACGCATTAGGCAATGCATGTATGTAGAATCTGTAGGTCACAGTGTGAAGTACCACTAAAAAATACCAAGTAGCATGTCAAAACCTGGACGACCAAATAAGGGGCCTTCAGTAAGAGCAGAGGTACACAGTCACAACGGTCACACAACAACGGGTGACCATAAACTTCAATAACTCACCACCACCCCGATTCAAGGTTACAAGTATAGAAAAGACCTATTCTAGCTTTGTGAAACACAGCAGCACAACAAAGTCCAAACACACCTTATATGGCAACACATGAACATTAAAATAAAATAGAGCCTGTGGAGAGCTGCCAACATCCAGACCAGGAAACTGGTAGTCTCTCTGTAGCTTCAGGTGGGGGTGGGGACTGCCATACAGTGTCTGGCTTTATGCCAACTGTAATGAGGCTCTTGAACTTTCATTAAATAATTAATCGAGGGTTTGTGTTGTAAACTGCCAACAGAGCAGAAATCCGATCAAGTCATCTTATGAAATACATCTTTAAATGATTTGGAGCAAAATATGTCACTTTCTGCTTTTTGCTTTTGTTAGCTACTCAACATATTGTAAAAGTCATTCATTTAAGTTTTTACATGCTACAACTAAACTGACAGCTTCATGACGTCAGTGTGGCCTCGAGTCCACTGGTCATGTTGTTGCTGTAAACAGCTGTCCTGAGGAGATTACCATCAGCACACCCACACATTGGAGAAACAGGCAGAATGATGAGCATGAAGGCTAAACATGTCAGCAAAAAAACATATTTAGCCACCTAAAAAGGCCCAGCAAAAGGGATCAATAAGTTCATGTGTATGTTATATTTAGCATATTTTTACCGCTTTATCAGACAGACCCTTCTGAAGGGGTTCTGAAGCAGTCGTATCACTATTTCCAGAACCACCAGACTCTGATATCATATAGCTATGAAGCCTTTAAAATAAAAAAGAAACAACCAATTGATTCTTTTCATCCTTTGATGTTGGGGAAATAAAAAGATGGGCAGCCTATACATTCTTGTATCATATATATTAAAGTGAATGATGACATCACATAGGCTTCTCATTTTGTCTCTGGAATCTAACAAACACTTTATCTCTGCAAAACCTTGTTTAACTAAACAAAAATACATATTTGCATGAGAAAAACACATAGAGAGCCTCCTGAATGAGGCACACACACACACACACAGACACACACACACACACACACACAGCTCTCTATCCTGTGGTCACACCCCACAGTCCTTCATATCGGCGGCAAGTTTGGCCTCAGCTGCTTGTTTTGGTTCACACAGACACACACGCACACACATGTGCACACGAGCGCACACAAACACACAGAGAAATGTATCAGCACACATGCACACACAACCCAGGCTCAGCTGTAAGAAACTGAATGCAAATGAGCAGAAACCAAGTTCCCTCCATCTTTACTGCTTCCACTTTCTCCTGTTACAGTATTGCAGAGGGGAAAAAAAGGCATGCAGCAGAGCTTACCTTCCTCTATCAGTCCTCCCGACACTTTCTTCTCTTCTCTTCTTTGTTGCTTTCTCCACTCTAGTCTTCTTTTCGGTAGCAGCTGCCTACAACATGCTGGGACTTGGCTGGAATGGAACGGTCTGCAGAAAGCCCCACTGGTCTGGAAAAAATAAGAGAGAGAGAAAAAGAAAGGAAGAGGTTCAATCGTGCAGGCAGAGAAACGAAAGAAAAGAGAAATTTGAAACCTCCAAAGCTCCAGAAACAATCAGCCCCTCCCTTCCTCCTCCTCACTGCTTTCTGCCTCCATATCCCTCACTGCTTCCCTCATCTCTCACTCCTTTATTTAGAAGTAAAAAGACTTGCCTTGTTATCCTGTCCAGTTCATTCCTTTTATTATCATTTTTTCGGATTCCTTCCTTTCTCTACCCTGATCTGTTTTTTGTCCTTTCTCAGACCTCAATCTCTGCCTGGCTCTCTTTTAGGGTTTTAACTTTGTCCTGTTCTTAAGCAATCCAAGCAGTTGAAGACGGAATGGGTGGAGGAAAAAAAAGCCCATATTTTAACCAACATCAAATTACAGACTTTGATTCAGTTTCCAATTCAGATTTCCAAAGGATGCACAGAAATCTGAGAAGCACTGAGTGTAAGCCTGAAAACAAATCATCTTATTTTTGTGCAGTTAGTAAGAAGAGCTAATGTTCCAATAAAAAAAGATGGTTCATTATGTCAAAGGAATCCTTCTATGTTGTAAAAACCCAACTCTAGCCAATGTAAGGGCTATCTGACTGATATGGAGAGTGATGGACTGCCAAATATCCCGACCTAAACCCAAGTGGATGATTGGATTGAGTGAAAGAAAAGAAGTAGCACTGTAAAAATATAAAAAAAATTAAGAAAAACCTTTGAACGAGAAGGCTTTTTGTCTGGTGTTGTATGTTTAGACTGAACATTTGTGGCCTCCAGTCCTCCATGGAGCTGCCTAGAGAGATGAGTAGTCATTTTCACAGCATGTTATGATGGGAACACATTGATTATGAGGGGAGACGCCGGGAAGGGAACTGCCAAGAACCATAGGCAGGTAACCAAGAGGTAGAACCATAAAACACACAGAAGGACGGAAATCATTCTAAAATAAAACTGAATTTAAACTACAACTAAAACCAAAGACCATAACACTCAATGGCCACACATTTTGGTTCCACACCGTCTGATTTTCATGTATCTCCAAACTTCTTAACGATTAAAATTATACTCAGCACACAATTAAATAAGTCATCATTCATCCTTGTGAGGACCCCGAAAGTTTGCACTCCCTCTTTTACCCCTTTGCTCCTCACAAATCGATCATTCTATACAGATGCATCTCTCTGCACACACAGCATGTTTAAAAGTTTGTTGGGAGCATCATAGACTTAGAATTACATTTGGCGGACAATCGTTTCCTCAAAAGCTTTACTTCCACTTTCTAAAGGTTGCTTCTGTAATCCTGTTAATATATTCAAAGCTACATTTGTGTCCAAGTCTTGGCATCAGAGAAAGAACAATGTATTTTCTGCTTGTTTGTTTCAGAAGGATGTTATCATTTTCCAAGTTAAATATTTTTCCGTTAGCATTTCCCGTCACTGGCTGTTCTGGCCTGTAATATTTCCAAGCTTGAAACTTCTTTATGTTTGCTATTGTCCAGCATCACAATGATACATGCTACTTGCATCTGGTTTAGATGCACCTGTCTGTGCTGATTTAGATCGGGTGGCTGCATTAGTTTTTTGATCATGATTGTTGCTCCAGCATCTGTCTTTGGAACATCTTCTTTGGTTGACCAGGCAGCTGGTACATACCAAATGAGAGGTAAAACCCCCGAACACACACACATAAATACATTATAAATATTTACATGAAAACCATTACCACCGATGCATTAAAAAAAAGTATAAACTAAACTCTCCTTAATAAAGACCCCCCTAAATACTTTACATAATTGTTTACATAAATGGAACCAAAACCCCACGCTACCCACCTCCCACATGGTACCTCCCTCCCGGAATTAATAAAAGGCATTTAAACCCCCGTCTAAGTTTTTAACCCGGACACCCTGGGAGGAAGATAACAGGCAGAGGTAAGTTTATGCTACCAGTTCGCCATGAAAGTGGCAATAAATATACACCGTTTTCTTAAACTAGTTCAGCCTTCTTTCCACGACACCATCTACTGCTGTGAATGACCTGCTCCTTATGTTCGCAGGCGAAGAGCAAGACGGTGCTGCCTGGCGTCCCAGCTGCCAACCATGTGCTCCGAAACAAAGAAACAAACATATCACATTATCTAACCTAATAAACGTGTTTTGGTTTTAGTTTCAATTCACCATTTTACCTTTAGTGACGGTAGTCCATCGTCACATAAAGAGACAGGAGCTAAAACCACTTGTTTAAAGCAGGAGATGAACTGAGGGACTGCATTAAGGACCAGTATAACACAAACAATGTTTTTTAAAGCAAGCAAACAAACAAACAAACATGTGAATCATGCCAAGCTGCAATAATGAAAAACCAGAATGAAAATATAGAAGCTAGAAATGATGATAATAGGTCCCTTTTAACAAAGCTACAGTCAGTATTCCTCTCCAAAGTTAGTGATGAATACACCTCTTCAACTTTGCCACTAGTACACACTGGAACAACAACATCCAGCAGCGCTTTGAATTTTTGGCCAAAACTTTGCAGCAGGAGGAAGAGGCACCACACAACACCGATGCCAAGTGGCTAGTGGCCATAAGAACAGAGCACCGTCAATAGAAGAAGAACCGGCAACCATCACCAAGGCAGTCATCCAATAATGATTCTCAGGCATCAAGAGCTGGACAATGCTTTGATAGAAGTGGAGGCCAAGAGAAAAAAATGGCTTGCTCGCCAAAGATCCATCAAGACTGTAATCCTAGGTGCATGGCTAAAGCAACACAGGGGAAGACCCACCCAGAGCTAGACTGAACAATACTGGAAGGACAACTGGGAGAAAGAGGCATCATGCAATACTATGCCACATGGCTAGTGAACTTAAGAGCATACCACAGCAACCCCCCAGAACAAGAACCAGTGACCATCAACGAGGCAGACATCCAACAACAAGCCTCAGACAAAGAGCTGGACAAGGACACCTGGCATGATCCACTCCTACTGGCTAAAGGAGCTAACAGCACTTCATGATTGCCTGGCAGCAGCATGATGAGTGGGTTAATAGCAGCCGGCACTTACTCAGACTGGTACAGGCAAGGGCAGGACAATCCTGAGCACAAGGGTTCAACACCTTTGAACTACCAGCTGATAATCTGCCTCTCCACAACTTGCAGCAGCTAAGCTTAGTGGGCACATCAGTGATGAGTGACGCTCAGAAGGACACAAGAAACAACACCAGAGGGGTTTCAAAGTACCAGCCACTCATCAAAAGAGCAGTCACCGAAGACTCTAAGACTAGGCAGACCAGTTTGAGTGGTATATACAGTGCTTGACAAATTTATTAGACCACCTGTCTAATTTGTTGGACAGATATGGACCATCCAGCATCATGAAGCATCATGAAGTGCTTTAGCATGCACACAGCTCTCAGTGTTTTACCGTTTTGAACAGACATGAGGAAGGAATATACCTTTTTAGACCCAAATTTGAGCCAGCTCACTGGACTTCTCTGAGAAGTCAGAAACTAATCAAGCATAACATTCAACAACTTAAACTAATTTTTTCTGTTCAGGAATGCAAGTAAGTAACTGTAAATGACATCTTAACCAAGAAATAATAACGTGCTTTACCTTTTTTTTTCATTTTTATTTTATTTTTTGCAAAAGTAAATTTGAAAATGCATTGATGACAATAGTGATTATATTTTAGCATTCAAAATATAATTTTGGTTCAAGAACTTCTACATAGTGGTGTATTAACCATTAAAGAAACATTAAGAAATATTTTGGTTACTACCAGTGCTGTTAATTTAAGGCAGTTGTGGCATAAACCTTACATTGGGTGGTAGTCTAATAAATTTGTTAAGCACTGTATATAGATATGCACTCCCTTTAAAAAGCAGACCACATGTCTAATTAAGTTTATCCACAATGAAAGATGATCATAATGCTTACCCCTCATTTAAATGTCTAACAACAGTTGCTGTGGCCTTTGGATGTTGGACTCTGCATGGTCATCATTTGGTGCTGCTATGGGCAGTGTTATGTGTTGCTATAGTAGTGTGGGAGCAGAGGAACAGTTTACTCCATTACAAACCAGCAACATAACAAATTCCAAGGAACCTTTCTCACAGTAGTAAATTGGAGACTACTTGAACAAAGCTTCTATTCAAATGAATTCAAATTCAACATTGGAACCAGACACAAGGCAGGAAAATGGTCAGATTTTTTACAATTCTGAGACAATCTAATGCCCTCTTGGATGTTGCCTGTCTTCATAAGTAACTGATAATGTTCTCAAAGTGTCACCTCTGAGATACTAAGGACACACCAAGGCGTGAACTGAGAAGAACTTGAGAACCTAAAGCAATTTTTAAAAATAATTTAAAATATTTAAATTCTTATTTTAGCAACTACATGAGCAGCATTTTCTATTCAGCTACAGCATTCAAAGAATCAAGATTTAGCAGCATAATCACTATTAGGCCTGTTTCTGGCACATGTCTTGAATTACAAGAGGATGGGCAGCTAGCTGCTTCCACAGATTAAAGCCCTCCCAACTGATGGCAGAGGAACATTTTCTTAAGCAGACTGAGGGATCAAACAGCATCAAGGGTAGGGTGATGTTTATATAACCGGAGAGGTGGTTGTGGGCTCGATACTCACAGTCTATGAACCTAATGACACGGCAGATTTGTTGAGCAGCTGTAAACAAGCACAAACAGCCACTTCATTATACTGTTGCTGACTTGTTTTCTGACAGACACACATGCATGTTCTCACAAACATGCACACACATACACACACACATACATACATACACACAGCCTTGCTAAAATTCTTGCTTGTCCTAGTTGCAGCATCTTTGGTTGTTTACTTTAGCCAGAACCCAAAAGATTCCTATAGTTTCTTTATGCAGTATTATCACTGTCGACTGCATTACGTCTACACTGAGTTTAGTAAGGGAGATAAACAAACTGATCAAGTGCTGGAATTGTA